AGGCAGAGGATGGGGCTGGGTACCGCAGGGATCGGGTGGCAGGCGGGGGATGGAGCCAGGCCTCAGGGATCGGGGGCCTCGGGGAGGACCGGGCCAGGCCGGGCAGAGCAGGGCTGGGGGAGTGGGAGGGGCCAGCAGGGGTCCTCCCCCATAGTCCCCTCCCCTCTTATCCAGCTCCACCCCTCCCCCCCGGACACCTTACTTATGGCACTGGAGCCCTGGTGAGGGGCCAACCACGGAGACGCTCTGGCAGCTGGACCCAGCCTGCCCCCCTTTTTTAAACTTCAGTTTTTTTAGACCCCTGGATATCCAGGGGTCCAACATTTTTAAGTTCCCGCATGTGCCTCTTGCCCCATCTCAAAGGGGGTTGAGATGGAGCAAGAGGCATGTGTGCCCTTAGAAGCTGGACAGCCCTGATCTACAAGGTTAGAATGACTGGTGATTTCATCTAGTGCAACTTGTCAGATTGGTTTTAAAATCAAGAACACATATAGGTCCTCAAAGCTTCAGTACCATAAGAAACTAATGCACTTGAGTCTTTAATAAATGCAAGGTAGCAAATGCCATTAGAAAATATATTTTAGAGTTGAGACCTTCATTAATCTGATCAACCAAGCATGCTTTTCCTTCTTGCCACCTCTTTTTTTTCCTCCTCCTCCACCACCGCCACCTCCTTCACCTTCTGTACCATCACTTCCAGAAGAATCCTGGCTATTAGTCTGTTTTGTTTCTACAAAAGAGGAGACACATATTAATATATTTGCAAACCCTGTATAAATCTCAGATTAACATATGATATTCTGTTCTATTTTAGTTATAATGAAAGGAAAACAGTTCTGAGAACAACCTAGCCCTAAATACGTACTAGCTGTAATTTATTTTTGGGACGTTTTCTAATTATAAATAATGGAATTCTGTTTCGATTGTAGTAGCAAAGGTAACAGTGCCTGACAAAGGCATAAGCTGCTGAACATGTTTTGGAAGAAAACTGTAATTTTTTCAATGTATCACATATTGTAATGTTGATGACACCTGGGTCAAAAACTTAATATGTAGTTACATGGTTTCCATTGTCCTTCCTCTCATAACCCCTACCAACTATTATCTTATTATCAGATCTTTGTATTATCTATTTTTTACATTCCCCCATTCTTAGATACTGTCCATCAGAATATGGAGGTGATGCACTAGATGGCCATGAGGGGATTATAACCTCATTACTTGTGCCAGTTTGCAACAAATGGAGGACTTCAAGGGCAATTACTCCAGCACTAAATTTCATGCAAATAAAACTCCTCTGAACATCAAGGCCTTCATATTGTTATTTCCTTCTTTCAATATATCAGTGAGAGTCTCAAAAAGAATATGGAGTCTGGTTCAGCTTTTTAGTGTCAACTATAGTGCAAAATCAATACAGGGGATGAATTTATTTTGGCCTTTCCTTTTACCAACTGATTCTGTCCTCTCTTTCTTGTACCCTTTACTGACAATCCTGTTCTTGTCACATCTTTATGCCATCTCTTTCTATAATATCCAAGACACTGCTACTGAAAACAGTCTCCATCTCTTGACAGGGACACACACAGGCAACCCTGAGTGGGAGACTGCAATGGCAGATACTTAAACCCTATGCAGTGATTCTGGTCACTTCTGACATGACACACATTAACTTTGTTTGGGAAGGGCTCCAAAATCTACCTATGCAACAGGCCTGCAGATGGCTACATTTGTTAAAAGGCAACAATAAAGGAAATACCAATGCCAGCCCAGGGAGACTTGGCAGGGGAGGGAACCATTACAAACCCTGCAGACAATTTCAGACTGAAAAGGTTTTAATGCTATCAGCAGTTATAGAGCTGACCTAGAGTAAAGAGGAGCAAGATTTCTGTTAACATATGCACCTACATGCAATGCTTAGAATTAAATAACATCTTTACCTTTTGTTTCTCCAGTCAACCCTTTGGAATCATTAGCTTTCTTTTCATTTGCAAAATATTTTTCAAATCCTGTCAAAATAGAAGGGAACACATTAAAAGCACATAATATATTTTTAATTAATGGTATTTTTATAAAGATGAATTAGTACTAGAGTGCAACAGATGCAGCATTCAGCACATATCACCTT